AGTAGCGCTCAACTACTGCATCTAGGAAATCCTTGGTGTTCGCGACAGCACTGAAGTGCGGACGCTCAGGCAGGGGAAGAGCATGACTAATGGCTAGCTGCGCTACGGCATTGCAGGAATCCCAGACAGCGCGAGCAAGCGCAGCGGCAGAAAAGGCCTCACGCTCAGTAGTGGTGGGGTCAGCAGGGAGAGGATCAGGCACGGGGGGGCAGGGAAGCAAGCCATCAACATGCACAGCCAGGGAGTGCCCATCCTGGCGCTGACCTGTCAGGTGATGGCGAAGATCGACAAGCCAAGCGGCGAAGTCGATCGCGTGCCCATCCGCGTCTAGGAGGAGTACAGCGTCCGCCATCGTGCAACCTCAGCGTAACAACTCCACGGTGGCACAGCGGCACAAAGACACGGCAGCACAGCGGCACAGGTACTCAGCGGCACAGCGGCGTGGCGGCAAAACTCTCTGGCGGGAAGACCGAGCGGAAGGCCGAGTAGGGCGCACAGGGCCCGAGGCGCGTAGTAGGCCGATGAGGCGCGATGGGCCGGCGGGACTCAAAAGGGGCAACGGGGCGCCAAGGGCCGGCAGAGTGCTAGGGCCAGGTGGGGAGCTAGGGCTAGCAAGCGCTCGAGGGGCTGGCGGGGCACCTAGGGCGGGCGGGGTGCTAAAGGGGCCAGCGGGGTCGGCGGAGTGCTAAGGGCCGGCAGGCACGCGAGGGGCCAACGGGGCATGCGAGGGCCGGCGGGGCGCTAAGGGCCGGCTGGGTACGCGAGGGGCCGGCAGGGCGTTAAGGGCCGCGAGGCGCTTAGGGCCCGCGGTCACGCGAGGGGCCGGCGTAGTACGCGAGGGGCCGGCGGGGTACGTGAGGGGGTCCGGCGAGCACGTGAGTGGCTGGCAGGGTACGCGAGGGGCCGGCGGGTGCGCAAAGGGCCGGCGAGGCATTAAGGGCCGGCAAGGCAAGTGAGGGGCCGGCGGGGTACGCGAGGGGACGACGGGGCACACGAGGGGCCGGCAGGGCGCTAAGGGCCGGCAGGGCGCTAAGGGCCGGCGGGGCGCTACGGGCCAGTGGGGCGCTAAGGGCCGGCGGGCACACGAGGGCCGGTGGGGTATGCGAGGGGCTGGAGGGGCGCTAAGGGGATCAGCGGGCTGGAGAGGGGTCGTCAGGGCGCTTTGGGCCGGCGGGGCGCGCTAAGGGGAACGACTGGGTGGTAGGCTAGGGCTAGGGCAGAAGCGGGTGGGCGGACCTAACCTACTATGACACCATGTTAGAATAGCAGAATGAATTAGAACAAGTGAGAGCAGGGGAGATATAAGGTTGGAGTTGTACCCTCTAAGAACACAAACCTATCTAGCCTATAACTTCTACATACAAACATATGTATAAGTTGACAACCATCGCCTTAGTCACCCTGCACTCCTGCGTCTGCGTCACATCTCCCAGCACGGTCTCGTCCTAGGTCTCCCTGCGTTGCTTCCTGCCCTCCCTCCCTTGCCTACGCCGCCGTGCATGCCCTGCGTCGGGGGCCGGTTGCGCCGTGCTCCTTACTCCTCACTTCGCCCTGTTACCGCATTACTCCAGACCCTGCACCTGGACGTCTGGGGCACAGCCCCCGTCCCTGGGCCGCATCCCGGGCGCTAGTTTAGCGTGCTCGTTGACGACTACACGCGCTGCACCATGGTGTTTCCCCTGGAGCGGAAGGCCGATGTGCTGACATTCTTATCACGTGGGTCGTAGCTGCGTGCCTCCACAACGGTCTCCCTGTGCCGTGTCTCCACTCCGACCGTGGTGGCGAGTTCGCATCTGGTCGGCTTGGACAGTTTTGTCGTGCGGAGGGCATCACCCAGTCGTACAACCTACCGGACTCCCCGCAGCAGAATGGGGTCGCTGAGCAACGCATCATTTTGGTCATGGAGGTGCCTCATACCTCCATGATTCATGCCGGTGCACCCCATTTTCTGTGGCCATTCGCCGTTCGCTACGCCGCTCACCAGCTTAACCTGTGGCCACACTCCCAGCGGCCGCAGGTTTCGCCGACCCTTCTTTGGACCGGGTTCCCTGGTGACGCATCCGCGTTCCACGTCTGGGGCTGCCTCACTCACGCTCGTGCCTCTGGCACGGACAAGCTCACTGCCTGCACTGTCCCTTGTGTTTTCCTCGGTTTCCCCCTTGACTCGTCTGGCTCGCACTTTTACCACCCGCCGTCTCACCGCTTCTTTCACTCCCGTGACGCCACTTTTGATGAGTATGTCTCATTTTACCATCGTGTTCCCTACCAAGGTCTCCCAGTTTCCCCTCCCTTGTTTTTGGTTCCCACTCCCCCAGTAGCCCCTGCTCACCTCCCTCCCCGTCCTGCTCCGTCCGGTGTGTCTCACGTTACTCGCGGGGGTGGTGGGGGTGGTGGGAGCGCTGGGAGTGCAAACGAGGGGGTGGGGGCTGACGCCCCAGAGCAGCAGCAGCAGCAGTAGTCGCAGCAGCTGTAGCAGCAACAGTGGGGCCCTCCGCCGCCGTGGTGGCCCGACGACTTTGATGGTGGTGGCCGCGGAGGCGGCCCTCGCAGCATGACGCCGGGTGGCAGCTCGAGTTTGGTGAGTTGCCAGTACCAAATTCAGTGTGGTCTCCCCTGTGGCACCGTCTGAGACCGCCCTGGTCACACCCCCGCCTGCTGCTACCGTCGCCTCGACAACCTCTTCCGTCTCCGCTTCGGGCCCACACCGGCCCTCCCGGACTGGCACAGCTTGGTACGTCACCGTGTGACTTTCTTTGAGACGAATATGGATCAGATCTGATATGCTTTGTATTCCATGTATGCTGATGACTCTAGTGTTACCGGACCTTATTATCCTGCGTTGCTTAGACTAGGCGCTTCTGCTGTGTGTAGTTTAGGCTCCCCTGATGCGTCAGGCGTAGGACCCGCTGACCGCCATGTAGCATTGGTTCCACACTTGCGCCCCCACTGGCCGATGCTACCACCGCGCTCTCCTTCACGTTGGACTCCGGTGCATCCGCCTGCTTCTTTTGCGACCACACCACTCTCACGCCGCTCTCTGCAGCAGTCTCCCTTGCAGACCCCTCCTCCGGTCCGGTAGTCGCACGCAGCTCCACCATTCCGGAAGTTCCCTCTAGCTCCCTTACAAGTCTGCATATCCCCTCGTTTCCCAAGAGCCTGGTTGGCGTCACCGCCACGTTTCCTGGACACGAGCGGCACGCAGTCTGTACTGAGGCCGCCACTAGTGCTCCCCTCACTACGTTTCCCCGGGATCTGGTGTCTGGCCTGTTCACGCTGCACACCGCGTTCCCCAAGGTGGCTGCATCTACGCAGGTCATTGCGGCTCGCTCGTATCGGTTGCTCACTCACCCGTCGCTACTGTGGCACCACCGTCTAGGCACCCCGCTCTCCCGCATCTCCGTCACATATCCCAGCACGGTCTCGTCTTAGGTCTCCCTGCGTCGCTCTCTGCCCTCCCTCCCCCGCATGTGCCTCCATGCACGCCTTGCATGGAGGGTTGGCAGTACGCTGCTCCTCACTCCTCCTCGTTTCTCCCCACCACTGCGCCACTTCAGACCCTGCACCTGGACGTCTGGGGCCCAGCCGTGGTCCCTGGGCCGCGCGACGAGCGCTACTTCCTGGTTCTTGTTAACAACTACTCGCGCTACACCACGATGTTTCCCCTGGAGCGGAAGGCCGACGCTCCTGCCGTTCTTATCCCGTGGCTTGTAGCTGCCCGAGTACGCCGTGCCCAGCCTGTGCTTCGTCTCATCTCTGACCATGGAGGCGAGTTTGCCTCTGGTCGGCTTGGCCGATTCTGTCATGCGGAGGGCATCACGCAGCCGTACACACTTCTGGACTCCCCACAGCAGAATGGGGTTGTTGAGCGACGCATCGCCTGGTCATGGAAGTAGCTCGCACCTCCATGGTCTACGCCGGTGCACCCCATTTTATGTGGTCGTTCGACGTGCACTACTCTGTTCACCAGCTTAACCTGTGGCCGCGCTCCGAGCAGCCACAAGTTTTGTCGACCCTTCTATGGATCGGGTCCCTTAGTGACGCGTCTGCGTTTCACGTCTGGGGCTGCCTATCTCTCGTCTGTAACTCTTGCGTGGACAAGCTCATTGCTCGCACTGTCTCTCGTGTCTTCCTTGGTTTCCCCCTTGACGCTCCTGGGTGGCATTTTTACCACCCGCCGTATCACCGGTTCCTCCACTTGCGTGGCATCACATTTGACAAGTCTGTCTCCTTCTACACCTGATCCCCTCACCAAGGTCTCTCTGTTACCCCGCCCCTATTCCTTGTCACCACCACCCCGGTAGCTCCTGCTGCCCTCCCTCCTTGTCCTGCCCCGTCTGGTGTGTCTCGTCACCCCCCTTTCCCCGGCGGAGGAGTGCGAAGTGCCCTGATCCAGGCATGAAACAGCAAGGCAGGCACAATGCATGCGGCTTGTCAGGAGGCCACATTTGGGAACTGCGATTTGAATTTCGTGGCAGAGCTGCTCGGAACCCCATTATAGCAGTGTACGCCTTACTAGCTAAAACACGTGATAAGGAATACCATTTCATTACAGTAAATAATTGATTGCCTTTAGCGAGGTCGATTGGCTGGTGTGTGGCACCTTCGAGCCAGAAAGTCGAATCTTCTCCAAGCCTGCGATGGTTGACTCGGCATGGTGCCGAACAGCAACATATTTTTCCCTAGGGCAGTTTCTCCGTCGCTGGTGTTGACAGGAGTCGTAGGTGCCTACGGAAAAGTACACCACCAGCACTTACGTGGTACAGGCATGCATTGTAAGCCTACCCAAAACATCAAGACTGTCAAATTTATATCAGCGGGCAGGATATGAAACGAATCCAAGCCGTCAGGTTCGGCTCAGGGCCCAGACCAAGGGCAGCACCAGGATCCCCGCCAATCACCCACGCAACCAACAAACCACCCCTCCCTTGCCGCGAACCCCTGATCCTGGCGGCAATGGCAACCCCTAGGCCAGCTTCTTTTAGTACTGTACAGTATGGAGGGATGTCCTTCACTATTTATTTAGATTCCAGAGGTCTCGGAACTGATAAGAGTGCGACGCGTCCTAGTTAAGTACAGTACCCGTACCTTGTTCTCTCCCTCTCCAGTATCATACAGTCGTCTGAGATAGTATTCGCTGCATCGTTTTCCACTGGGACTAGGCAATGGCGTCCGGAGTTAACGCGACGCGTCCGGAAGCCGTTCCATGCAATCACACCAAGGACGGCAGATCGAGGCTCCGATTCGACGAGACCGTAACAGTCATCTACGGCACCGGCGAAACAGAAATCGAAACCCTTCACGTTCCCGAAGCCGCCTCCTCCGCTAATGCCGAGCCTCGCGAAGCGGCGGAACCAGGCGACGGCTCGCGAGAAAGCTCGTCGCTCTCGGAAGCAGACCGATCAGGGATGCCTGGGTCTGCTGAGAGGAGCGAAAATCAACAGAACCATGGATCATTTCCGCCAAGAGGTTTCGCGATGCACGGTGGTGAAGCCGAGGGGGACGATCTCGCTGATGATCTAGATTTCTTAGATCTGGAAGACTTGGAGCAGACGTGGGCGGAGCGGCGGGAGAGCATTCTGGGGACGAGATGTGGGTCGCCCAAGGGCGCGACGGACGTTGGAATGGTGCGGTCCGACGCGATTAGGTTTACCGGCGGCCCTCGCGAGTCGCTGAAATGGACCCCGCAACCACGCGCCTGACACGCGCTGGACACGCGCCTGACACCAGCTTGACTCAAGCCACGCGCTGGACTCCAGTCTGGAGTCAATTAGCTGGTTTTACTGTCTTGGTCAGTTATTCTGTGGTGGCCTCTTACTTTCCCCCGTTGTCACTCATTTCTTTAGCGGGCTAAATGGTTGCATGCCTCCTCGGCCTCTACGTCTGACTGGGGATGGCTTCACGGAGGCCTCTACATCCTGACTGAGAACAGGTGCGACCGTCAGGGGAAAGGAGAGGCAGCAGCATGCTGGGGATGCAACATGCCTTGCTCCTAGGATCTCCGAGGAGCAAGATGCGGTGGATGTCTCGTTTCGAGCCAGCCTCTCTGACGGATGAGCGTGTTGACGTTTTTCCCCAAGGGTTTGTCAGCACAAGGTGCTCTTGGAATGCATGGCTCTTCTTTTGCAGGCTTTTGCTAGGGAGACAGTCAATTCCTCTAATTATGGTACCGGTAGTAAGTAAATTAATTAGTGTACCTTACCTGCAGTTCGTCCAGACTGGATCTAAATTCTAAAGATGTAATTTCCTGCAGTGCAGTGCTTGTACAGATGAGAGTGCTTCGTCAGTACTGTTGCAGCAGCATGAGATATGCATATACCAGTAACCGACTCTCAATTAGACTTGATGGGGCTTGCTATAGGAGTCTTCTGTACTAGACAGCCTACTATGGCTTGATCATGGCTCTGTGGCAGCTACGTAGCCAAATTGTACACTTCCGGGTATGCTTTCAACCTCTGGGACTGGATCCCAGTGCCACAAACAGGCACCGTCCACCACACCACCGCACCCAACCAGCATCGGACCAAGGAGTACAGCAGCATCCCACCCTTCGATCATGTGCGCCAGGGAAGTCTCAACCCCTCTGGTCTTTTGCCCCTCTGCCTCCTGTAGGCGCCTCAACTAGCCCTCCGGTCAAAGTCCCGACTTATTTCGGCGCCTTACAAGATCGCCTGATCCAGGAAAGTCTCAGCCCCTGGGGCCGTTGCCCCTCCGCTGCCACCTGCTGCCCCGGCCGTGCCTGTGCCGCTGCTGCTGTAGCCCTGACCTCTCGAGGCTTGAGTGCAAATAACGGCTTGTGGCAGGCTCACTTGCTCCAGGGCAGTCTCGATCCCCCCTCTTCCTCCGGCCGATGCCCCTCCGCTTCCTGCTGCACCGGCCGTGCCTGTGCCGCTGCTGTGACCATGGCCTCTCGAGTCGTGAGTGCGTGCAGGGGGGCCTTGAGGGGGTAAGGCACTTGCAGTGGGGGCGGTACGTGCATGGCCCAGCTTCCGAACCTCACCTCGCGTACCTCCTCCTCTGCCTCGGCTCCTTGGGGGGCTTCACCAGCATCAGTTTCCTGCGGCTCCTGCTGCTGGTTGCTTGCGGCAAGTTCTGTGCTGCTGCTGCTGCTGCTGCTGCTGCTGCTGCTGCTGCTGCTGCTGCTGCTGCTGCTGCTGCTGCTGCTGCTGCTGCTGCTGCTGCTGCTGCTGCTGCTGCTGTTGCTATCAGTGTTTGTGCCATTCTCACTGTCTGCAGGTGCGAGGCCTTTGAATAGCATCGTGGTTGTCTGAAGGCGGTCAAAGCGGAACCCCGACTGCCACACGAACAAGCTGCAGGAAGGGAGGAGGTGCAAGTGGGAACGATGCAACAAAGAATATCCAACTCCGAGAGTGAAGTGAACCCATGTGAGGAAGAGAAGCAGACATGCAAAAATGGAAGGGAAATTATACGCTGGGTAACTCTTACTTTTCGTTTCCCCGATTCAGTCACTCTTTTCTCATCTCAGTCAATGTTTTATCGAGTCGAAATCAGCAGCGTCAATTTTTTTGTTCAGTTTGATGCCGCATGGCAAAATATTTCGACACGTGTCCAAAAATGGCGAAATCCCAGAGAATAGGGAGACTATTTGTAGTGACAAAAAAAAGGAAAATCTATCTAGAAACTCGCGGAGCCCGCATGCGACTCGAGGTGGCATCCATCATAAACTCGCGGCTCTGTGCATCTATAGGGTTGATGCCACCCCAAGTCGAATATCGGGTCGCTGCGGGTTATATTTTGTTTCAAGCTGCCCTAATTGACATGTCCGTTTATATACTGGCTGCTGCGGGTTATATTTTATTTCAGGCTGCCCTAATCAACATGTCTGTATCTCAATAACGCGTCGCGGAGCTGTGCGCGAATGTAATCCCGGACAGAATCCTCTTCTAGCTCTGAAGTTTTCTCTTCAAATTTTGGACATTAAGTATTTATCTCTTGATGCTTTTTAGACATCGCATTTCTTGGACACGTGTCGAAAGATTTCGCCATGCGGCATCAAACTGAACAAAAAGTTTGACGCTGCTGATTTCGACTCACAGGGTCGCATCACCATGTGATGTGACATGCAGGAAAGGGGGGAGGCTCACTGCAGGAGAGAGGGGACACTCACTGCAGAGAAGGGGGGAGAAGGAGTAGCGGTGGGTGGCAGCCCACTCACCGCTGGTCGGGCCAAACGACTGCAGAGATGTCGCCAATGCCCCGAGACAGGAGCTCCCTGGGGGGAGAGAAGCGTGGAGCGTTCAAGCATTGACAAAAATGACGGGGAAGGAGGGAGAGAGGAGAAAGGAGGATTTGTGAGTGAAAGATGGATCTTCTAGATGTAGGGGAATTCAGTGTGGTGAAGGGGAGGGAAATTTGACCTCCCTGGTTGGATTTCGCGACCGGGCGAATGTGTCGATGAATTCGCCATGTCAAGAAATCGCGGAAAAAAAAACTCCCGAGCTGCCTCGGAATTTCTACCCGAGCGTATAGCGTATCTGCCTGCGTTTAGAGTCTGCGTATACACGTAGACGCTCCTCTAAAAATGCGCTTATGGCAACATAGAGCTGACATAGAGTCTCACCTGAATTACGTCGACCTGATGATTCACCTGAGGATTCACCTGAGGATTCACCTGAGGATTCTCTGCAACACCCTGGTGCCCAGGCCACGGCCCCTGTACACTGGTGCCACCTGATGAGGTGGAGAGCAGTGGAGTGGAGTTTTTGAGAAGGGGATTGATTGGGAAAGACAAGAAGACAGAGTAGTTGAAGCCCGACATGCACAACAGCATATGAAACCCACCGCAATGTCATGCACAACAGCAGATGAAACCCACCGCAATGTCATGCACAACAGCAGATGAAACACACCGCAGTGCCATGTACAGCAGCAGTGAGGGTGCCATCGGAGTACACCCACCCAAACATGGGATGGCATGGTGTTTAGTGTGGGGTAAACAGCCCACTCACAGCACTGTCGTGCACGGCGGCAGCGAGGGTGCCATCTGAATACCCCCGCCCAACCGTCTGATAGTGTGGGTAGCAAATGTATGTTGAGCAGCGCACACGCACCGCTATGTCGTGCACGGCGGCAGTGAGAGTCCCATCTGAATACGCCCGTCCAAATGCCACCATCCGCCTGCCCTCCACGCTCCTCCGCGCCGCCTCCACCTGTTGCACCCGCCTCATTGCCCTCTTGCTCACAGCCCTGCCCGGGCTGCTGCTGCTGCTGCCACTGCCGCCTGAACTGTCTCCTGTGCTGCCCTTCCTCTCATTTCCCTCCTCTGTATCCTCCTCCTCACCCTCGTCGGTGTAATAGTCCTCTGCAAGGTCCGTCTTCTTCACGTACAGAGCGACGGTCACGGTGCTGCATCCATGCAGGGAGGGGAGGATTCACGAGTGAACCGAATGTGGTAGAGAGAGGACTGGACAGAGGGAGGGCACGGTCAGACGGTCAGACGGTCTACCTCATCGCAGCCACTCAAACCCACCCTTACCTTGTGCCGCTCACCACTTATCCTGCGCTCTGCCCATCCCAGCAGCACTAGCAGCATTAGCAGCATCAGCAGCATCAGCAGCACTAGCAGCATCAGCAGCATCAGCAGCACTAGCAGCTTCAGCAGCATTAGCAGCATCAGCAGCATTAGCAGCATCAGCAGCATCAGCAGCATCAGCAGCACTAGCAGCATCAGCAGCATTAGCAGCATCAGCAGGATTAGCAGCATCAGCAGCATAAGCAGCATCAGCAGGATTAGCAGCATCAGCAGCATGAGCCATCCCCACCCCCTCTTACCCACTGGCACTCGAGCCACGTGACATAGACATTAACATTGACATTGACATTGACATTGACATTGACATTGACACTGACACTTGACATTGACATTGACATTGACATTGACATTGACACTGACACTGACATTGACATTGACACTGACACTGACACTGACACTGACACTGACACTGACACTGACACTGACACTGACACTGACACTGACACTGACACTGACACTGACATTGACATTGACATTGACATTGACATTGACATTGACATTGACATTGACATTGACATTGACATGGACATTGACACTGACACTGACACTGACATTGACATTGACATTGACATTGACATTGACATTGACATTGACATTGACATTGACAGTGACAGTGACAGTGACAGTGACATTGACATTGACATTGACATTGACATTGACATTGACATTGACACTGACACTGACACTGACACTGACATTGACATTGACATTGCCATTGACACTGACATTGACATTGACATTGACATTGACATTGACATTGACATTGACATTGACATTGACATTGACATTGACATTGCGCAGCATCGGGTGCCTCTAAGGGAGCGGGTTGGAGAAATCTCTCATTCAATGACTCACCCATTCCCCAGCCGTTGTCCCTCACCTCTCTTTCCAACGCCCTTCTCATCTCGGATTATCCACAGGCACTCGAGCCATGCTCGCATTGGGGGGGAAAGGAAGGCCCCGCCCCCGCGCATACTGATAAAGCCCAAGTGTCACCCCCTGCTACTCGCCTTTGATCCACAGCTCCTCTCACCTTAGCAGCATCAGCTCTCCCCACTCTCTTATCCACTGACATGCAAGCCACGTTCATGTTCCGGGGCAAGGGCGGGCCCTCAGAGGACGGCTGGGTGAGCCACTTACTCACGGACTCTTTCCCCAGCCCTTGGAGCGCCACTCTTTGATGGTGGGGGCCATTGCGTGGCTGCAGAATCGAGACTCGGGTTAACCTGGCAAGGGCGGCCCCTCAGAAGTCGGTTTGGAAAGCCTCGAACTCACTGTCTCATTACCCAGCCCTCGTCCCTCACCTTTTATCCAGCGCCTTCCTCATCTTAGCAGCATTGGCCCTCCGCACTGGTCTCTTATCCACTGGCACTCAAGCCACGTTCACATTGCGAGGCAAAGGGGTTGCTCTGGGTTTGGGTACGCCTCTCACCATGTCTGAGTCATTCATCTGTGCTTGTCTCTCACCTTTTGTCCAGCGCCTTTCTCATCTTAGCAGCATCGGCTCATTCATCTGCGCTTGTCTGAGTCATTCATCTGCGCTTGTCTGAGTCATTCATCTGCGCTTGTCTCTCACCTTTTGTCCAGCGCCTTTCTCATCTTAGCAGCATCGGCTCTCCCCACCCTCCTCTTATTCGCGGCAACTCGACCCACGAGCAGAGCAGACCACCCCACCCATTGGTTCTCACCTTCTATCCAATGCTTTCCTCATCCTAGCAGCATTGGCCCTCCCCACTCTCCTCTTATCCACCGGCACGCGAGCCACGTTCACATTGCGAGGCAAGGGCGGCCCTTCAGAGGACGGCTCGGGCGGCAGCAGGGCGGGGAACAGTTGTCCGTTCTGCCCAGATGCTGCCAGCAGCGCCGCCACCTCCCTCTCGTCCATGGCTGCTGCCTCTGTGACTATAGTGAGGGGCGGAATGCGCACGGCTGTTGGGGAAGGGAGTGGGGCATGGTGGTGGTGGTGGTGGTGGTGGTGGTGGTGGGAGGAGGGGGGTTTGGGGTGTTTGGGGTTGTGGGGGAAGGGAGGAGGGGAGAGGAGTTGAGGTGAATTCCAAGTCAGGTACATGGTAGGTTGGTAACAAGCACCCAACCGATTCAAAGGGAGAGGTGCCGGTTGGTATCAACAAAGCTGGCTCACCGACCGACGACCATCGACTCACACGGCGCCGTTCCAGGACCGGCCCGCCAGCCATCGCTGCCAGCAGCGTCGCCACCACCCTGTATTCCTAGGCTGCTCCCTCCGTGACTATAGCGAAGGGCGGGATACGGATGGCTTCAAGAGGATTACAGGGGAAGGGCGGCATGGGGTCAAGGGGGGGGGCAGCTTGAGGTGACTTGTGAGTCGTTCCAAGTCCAATTCAGTCTATTTAAGGCCTTGCACGTTTCACGCCATGGGTGGATGGTGCCTGTATGATTCCCCTTTCTGATTAGGCTCCTCGATATAAGAGCATCTCACGCACCTGTCTTAGACGAGAACAGCTGGCACCGAACGTCCCCTCGAGGCGACGAGCTACTCGCATGCCCGCCCCACGACGTGCGCGCCCGCCAGTCACGCGCCGTCAACGGGCCTCCCGCCGCCTCCGCCGTCCTCTGGAAGCGCGCCTCCACGCCACGCTGAAAACGCTTCGGCGACGGCGACAGACGCGATCGCGCCGCGAGAAGATTCGGCTGGTGGTGCTGCCATGGCGAATGTCTGTGGCGGAGAGGCCGGTGGGTGAATGGAAGCGGCGGAATCAGGCGGCCTGGCCAGAAAGATCTTTTTGAAACGTCGAGGAACTCTTTAACGAGCGCATCTTGTGCGCCGCTGAGCTGCTGTGGCTGAAATGATGCCCGCCGCGGTCGTTGGCTGTGCTGCTGCTGCTGCTGGTGGTGGTGACGCTGCTGTGTAAACAGCCAATTAGGCTGACGCGAAGTTAGCGAAGCGGTAAAGTTTTCTTGCGAAGACGGCTGACGCGCAAGCCGAGTCGGACGAAACGAGGAGCGGAAACGAGCGCCGGAATTGCCTGCATTCTGGCGTGCGCTTGGTACTACTGCAGCAGCGATAGTAGAGGCGCCGCTACTACTGCACTCTGAGCGGGCGCCGAACCTCCCTGCAATCTGGCGTCCGTTTGGTACTAATGCAGCCATAGTAGAAGCACCGCTACTAATGCACACTGAAGGCGAACAGGAGCTGCCGGGGATTGCGGCGGGTATGCTGCCTCTGACGGGTCGGTATGGTGCCTCTAGGGTGCAGTAGATGGGGCCGGCCGCAGCCATGGCGCCGCGGCTCGTGCAGATATTAAGTTAATCACCGGGACGCCACGCAGGGTGAGTGGCGCGTGCTGGTGTAATGCTGCTGGCGCGAATGTGAATTATTAGGGCTCGCCGATAAGCAGTGTAGGCAGGTGGTAGAGTTTCCGTACACCGCGGGAAAAGTGGGAAGTGTTTTTGGGAGTCTAGGTTTGGAAAAATGTGGGAACTGTATTGTCGCAACCAGTGGTTGGGAAGATTGCTATATCGAGGCCCGCCAGACAGGCTGTTATCGTGTCTTTCCACGTGGCAGAATATGCCGGCTTCAGAGGCTCGCGCTTTCGTGGACTTTACGTCCTCGAGGCTTGGCGATGGCATACGTCAGCAGCCAAATGGCAATCACCGTCAGCAGACCTTGTCAGATTATGTCATCACACGTCGAGACGAAATGAGTCAGACGAATAAATCGTAGGCGCAGCACGGTGCTCTGCGTTATGAAAGATTACAGATCTTGCGGACACATCTGCTCTGTCGGGAACCGACCAACCAAAGGGCTTGTGACACGCTGTAATGAGCCTTGTCGCGTTGGCAGGCACGGATCGTAATCTCCGTCCTACGCATCCCCTCCCCTCCTGTATTTGGAATTTGGATTCAACCGCCTTCGGCTTCAGCGGAATTCACAGCTGCTGTGCTGTACGTGTTTCAGGACTCGTCGAGATCCTGAATTCCCTCCGTCTTTGTGCTGCCTCGTCTTTCAGAAAGCAGGCAGCATTCGAGCTAGCAGGAATCCGATCCCGTCTCGTGTTGTCGAAAGGTCAGGCAGATCGCGCAACGCCCCTCGCGCGGAATAGAGCCTCACGGTAGCATTGATGTTCTCATGCCAGATTCCTCTTTCCGACTCGAGATTCAGCTGAGCTTCACCCGTGTCTGCCATCACCATCATCATGTCGCGCTCACTCATCGCACACGCCACCACCCGTGTCCCGGTACCTCCCTCCGTTCCGAAACTCACGGCCAGTACGCGAAACCGTCGAGACCTCTCATTTCCGCGTAAGCCCCCACTCGATGCGCGGCCACCGCTCGACCCCTCTCGTCGTGCGCCAGGCAGCCTCTCTTCTCCCCTTTCCCACCCGTCGTTACGCCCCTCCGCTCACCGTTGCTGTCGCCGGCTCTGCTGGTCCCTAAGCGCCACCCCCTCGCGAGCTCTCAGCGGGATTCGCCGAGGCCCGAATGAATGTCGCCGCGCCGTCACGGTTGCCTCGCATGGCCTCGGCGACGGAAAAGCGGCGTCGTCCAGCGATGAACCGGCGACGAGCAGCGGGGCGTATTCGGACCGCCGGGTCAGGGACAGTAGCCGTGCGATCCCAGACACAGATTCCGACATTAACGATACCGCCATTCCACCCTCTTCCTCCGCCTCTCTCCCCCCCTCAAGCTTCCCCGCATGGTACTTCACCCCGCGCCAGGTGGCAGCCCACTACATGGTGAATCCTGACGTGGGCCTGTCCGAATCCGACGTGGCGCGGCGGCGCGCAGTGCACGGGTGGAACGAGCTGGACCGTCCGGCGGGCACGCCGTTCTGGAGTCTCGTCTTGGACCAGCTCAACGACACGCTCGTTCGGATCCTCGTCGTCGCCGCCGTGGTGTCGCTCGCGCTGGCAGTGGCGGAGCAGGGGGGGGAAGGGGGAGGCGGAGCGGGGGGACTGGCGGGGTACACGGAGCCGCTGGTGATCGTGGCCATCGTGGTGCTCAACGCGCTCATCGGCGTGTGGCAGCAAGTCAAGGCGGAGAAGTCGCTGCAGGTGAGCGAATGATAAGTATGAATGATACGCATGAATGAATCTGGATGAGTCCGGATAAGATTGAAGAATTGGACGAAATTGGAAGACTTTATATGAATCTGAAACGACTTCTACTGAGGCTGCATGATCATCAATGGGTATGAATGCATATTGGGTGAATCTGGATAAATGCTGAAAGAATCTGGGATGACCCCGGACGAATGTTGTATCACAAGGATGAACCGGGACGAATGTTGTATCACAAGGATGAACCGGGACGAATGTTGTATCACAAGGATGAACCGGGACGAATGTTGTATCACAAGGATGAACCGGGACGAATGTTGTATCACAAGGATGAACCGCAATGAATGCGGATGGGTCTGACTGAGTCTGGATAAAGATGGATGTGAATGCTTCGAGTGCTCTCAATGCATTTGCGAGTGCTTCAACTCGGATCTGTCTGCTCCTCTTGCCAGCCTTCCTCTCCCTCCTCCCTCCTCCCTCCTCCTCCCTTCCCCATTCTCCCTCCAGGTGCTCGAAGGCCTTCAGTCTCAGACTCCTCGCCTCCTGCTCCCACCATCTCCACCCCCCACCTCCCTCCCTGCTCCCGCCTGCTCCTTCCCTCCCTCCATCCTCCCCCCAGGCGCTCAAGGACCTTCAGCCTCAGACGGCTCGTGTGAGGCGGGCAGGCGCGTCCAGTGGAGGTGAAAGCGGCACGGAGGAGGAGAGTGCCATGGACGACGCGAGCGACAGAGGGAAAGGCGGCGACGGGCCCGTCAGCCAGGTGGTAACCATACCAGCAGCACGGTTTGTAACGATACCGGCGCGGGAGCTGGTGCCGGGGGATGTGGTGGAGGTGCGGGCGGGGGACAGAGTCCCTGCTGACATGCGCATAGTCAGGGTGGTGAGCGGGTGCGTGCGGCTCAACGAGTCGAACCTCACAGGGGAGAGCGAGCCGCAGGTGAAGCAGACAGAGAGGGTTGAGCCGAGGGGAGGAGGGGAGGAGGCGGTGGAGCGCGGAGGAGTGAGGGTGGAAGATAGGGGGAACGAGGAGGAGGGGGGTGGGTGGGCGAGGAGTGGTGTTGGGAGCAGTGGGAGCAGTGGGGAGGAAACAGGGGAGCAGGCGGAGTGGGAGGGCAGGAGCAGTAGCAGAGACACTCTCCAGATCCAGTCTAAACTGAACATGGCGTTCGCGGGCACGACAGCAGCGACGGGGTCGTTCATCGGGGTGGTGGTGGGCACGGGCATGGGCACGGAGGTGGGGCGCATCCAGGCGCAGATCACCGCGGCACAGGAGGAGCAGGATGGAGAGCTGTACGACACGCCCTTGTCGCGCCGCCTGGAGGAGTTTTCAAGGGCGCTCACCCAGGCGGTGGGCGCCATGTGCGTCTTCCTCTGGGTGGTCAACGTGGACCGCTTTGTCATCTGGGACGGTGCAGCCAAGACCCTGGCGTTCAATGCGCAGCAAGCTACGTTCTACTTTAAGGTGGGTCTAAGCTGAGGGGACGGACAGAGGGGCGCTCACCCAGGCGGTGGGCACCATGTGCGGGTTCCTGTGGGCGGTAAACGTGGAAAGGTTTGTCATCTGGGACGGCGCTGCCAGGACCCTCGCGTTCAACGCGCAGCAGGCTACGTTCTACTTCAAGGTGGGTTAAGGCCAGGCGGGCGTTGGCCCCAGCGGTGGGCGCCGTGTGCATGTCCTGGCGGGAAGTCCATGTGGATCGGATTATAATGTGGGATGATTATCATGTGGGATGATTATCATCCGGGCAGGGCCCCGGGGGTGCATTACAGATCCGAGACTGGCTGCATGTGCTCATTTTCTCATTCGCTCATTTTCTCATCCTCTCATCTCAAGTCCCCTAGGTCTCCAAGCCTTACACCGTCTACTCTTCGGACCCCCACACCTGAAATTGCAGTTACACCCAATGCTACTCCTAATCCCGAAACCCCACCCCTCCAAAGCATCAACTGAGGGCTGTAGCCCTGGCTGTAGCAGCGATTCGAGGCTTCCAGCAATCAAAACCACATGCCTGGCTCTTGGCGCTTGGCGTTTTAGTGTCTGGCTGCTCATTCTCATCCTGCCTGAAACCCGGAATCACAAACCCCCTAAACCCTGAGCAGGAGGCAGCAATTCCCGAGGGCCTGCCAGCAGTGATCATCACGTGTCTGGCACTAGGCACACATCGTGGTACTGTGCGACTGCAGATTTTCACTCTGCCTTAAACCCAAAACCCTGATTTCGCCAAACCCTCCCTCAACAGGAGGCTGTGGCCGTGGCTGTAGCAGCGATTCCCGAGGGTCTGCCAGCAGTGACCACCACCTGGCACTGGGCACCACCGCATGGCAGGGGAGAGGACAACGCTATAGTCCGCCGCTTGCCATCGAGTACTTGCATTATCTCATCCTGCTCTAAAGCCAAAGCCAAACCCCCCAAACCCTGGCTTAGCAGATAGTAGGCCAATGCTATAGTCTGCCACTTGCCACTGTGGCTGCACATTGTCTCATCCTGCGTAAACCAAAATCCCACCCTCTGCAGTCAACAGGAGGCAGTAGCAGCGATTCCCAAGGGCCTGTGTGCAGTCATAACCACATGTCCGGCACTGGGCACATGCTGCAGGGCAGAGTCCAACGCCATAGTCCGCCACTTGCCGCGTGACACACGGTGCTTGCATTCTCTAATCCTGCTTTAAACCCAAAACCCTGCCTGTCACCAACAGGAAGCAATAGCGCTGGTTGTGGCAGCAATCCCTGAGGGCCTGCCAGCAGTGACCAGCACATGCCTGGCTCTCGGCGCTTGCAGCGTGGCGGAGGCCAGCACTGTAGTCCGCCACTTGCCGTGTGATAGACAGTGCTTGCACAGACCCTCATCCTGCCCTGAACCCTCATCCTGCCCTGAACCCTCATCCTGCCCTGAACCCTCATCCTGCCCTGAACCCTCATCCTGCCCTGAACCCTCATCCTGCCCTGAACCCTCAACCCCAACCCCCCCAAACCGTGAGCAGGAGGCAGTAGCGCTGGCTGTAGCAGCGATCCCCGAGGGCCTTCCCGCCGTCATAACCACGTGCCTGGCGCTGGGCACGCGGCGCATGGCCGAGGCCAACGCCATCGTGCGCCGCCTGCCGTCCGTGGAGACGCTGGGGTGCACCACCGTGATCTGCTCCGATAAGACCGGCACGCTCACCACCAACCAGATGGCGGTTGCCAGCCTGGCGGTGCCACGTGGCGCTGACGGGGACGTGCGGTGGTACGATGTGTCGGGGACCACGTATGACCCGGGTGATGGGGAGGTGGTGGGATGGAGGGGAGGAGAGAGGAGGGGAGGGGAAGGATCGGGAGGTGAAGGAGGGGAAGGTGGAGGAATGAGAGGTGTTGATGGGAGAGTGAGTGCGAGTGTGGAGGGAAAGAAGAGCAGAGATGTGGAGGGTGAGGGGGATGCGAGTGTGTGGAGCATGGCGGGCATCAGCGCGCTGTGCAACGACGCCAGCATCACAGTGAACAAGGGGCAGTACGGCTGCTCCGGCATGCCCACTGAGGCCGCGCTCAAGGTGACGCCTTCTTGCAGCCGCCAATCATATTCTACCCACCGAGGACGTTTCAGCAGTATCAGCTCACTTGCTTCTTAAGCACCCCCTCTGTCCTTCCTCCCCCCCCCCCCTCTCTCCCCCCTGGCCCCCCCTTCTCATCCCTGGCCCCCCCTTCTCATCCCTGGCCCCCCTTCTCATCCCTGGCACCGCCTTCTCATCCCTGGCCCCCCCTTCTCATCCCTGGCCCCCCCTTCTCATCCCTGGCACCGCCTTCTCATCCCTCCCTGGCACCGCCTTCTCATCCCTGGCACCGCCTTCTCATCCCTGGCACCGCCTTCTCATCCCTGGCCCCCCCTTCTCATCCCTGGCCCCAACAAGGGATGAGAAGAGACTTATTTTCCCTCATTGGGGAACATGCCAGCCCCATGGGCTACTTGTTTTCTTCTGGGGGAACAGTAACCAATGGGGCCGGCCCATGCCCTTTCAGAGGTCCCACGCAGGGCAAGTGTACCCTTAATTGCGGACCTGGCCTGCGCCTATTAGGAGCAGCGGTGGGAACGGGTGTGCACGTTTTAATTTCCAAAGATTTCAAGATGGAGAAATCAGGCACATCTTCCCCTTCCCCTTCATGCTTCATCCCGACCCCCATGTGCAGGTGTTGGCAGAGAAGCTGGGAGTGCCAGCCGCCTTGCAACAGGCTGGACTAGAGGAGGCACGCAGGGAGGAACCAGAGAGCAGCCTGGGCGTGGCGTCTGCGTTCTGGGAGCGGCGGTGGCAGCGCTTGTGCACGTTCGAGTTCGACCGCTTCCGCAAGTCCATGAGCGTGCTGGTCACGCCTGTGGGCGGGGAGGAGGAGACTTTCGCCGCGCCGAAAGAGCTGGCAGGGCGAGAAGGGAGTGGGCGGCAGCAAGGGGAGATGCAGCAGGTGCAGGAGGAGGGCGAAGAGGGGGAGGAGAGAGGGACGTGGTTGCGAGCCGCAGGGAACCGGCTGCTGGTGAAGGGAGCAGCAGAGTGCGTGCTGGACCGCTGCACGTCCCTGCAGCTCCCCTCGGGCGCTGTTGTCCCGCTCTCCCCCGCCGCCCATGCCAGTCTCGCCCGCACCATCTCCACCATGTCGTCCCAAGGCCTTCGCGTGCTCGCCTTCGCTTATAGAGTTGACCTCCCGCCCGCCTTAGCCAGGTTGGGGGAGAGGAAAGGGGGCCAGGGAGGAGACAGAGCAGGTGAAGGGAGCAGAGATCGGGCTGGGGGGGATGGAGGGGAGAGGGGGGGAGACGAGAGAGATGAGAGGAAAGAGTGTGCAGAGGAGGTGCTGGAGAGAGGTGAGGGGTGGAGTGAGGAGGTGCAGCGGTGGGTGGAGGATGGGAGCCGGTATGAGGAGCTGGAGAGCAGATTGACCTTTGTGGGGTTTGCGGGGATTCAGGACCCGCCACGGCCGGAGGTGCCGGCGGCGATAGCGGCATGCACGAGTGCGGGGATGCGGGTTATAGTGATCACAGGGGACTCTGGATCCACTGCCACGGCTGTAGCTAGGCAGATCGGGCTGTTTGGGCGGGATGGTGACACGGGCTCTTCTGACATGGACTTTGCCCGCCACTCCTTCGCTGCTGCGGAGTTTGTTGGGCTGCCAGAAGAGCAGCAGCTGATGATCCTGGCAGGGAAGACAGGCGGAGGCGAGGGAGGGGGAGCAGGCGGAGGAGGAGGAGGTGGAGGTAGTGGCGCATTGAGGGGCGGCAATCTGGTGTTTTGGCGTGCGGAGCCGGTGCACAAGCAGCAGATCGTGCGCGCGCTGAGAGCGCAGGGCGAGGTGGTGGCGATGACGGGCGACGGGGTGAACGATGCTCCGGCGCTGAAGCTGGCGGACATTGGCATCGCCATGGGCGCCACCGGCACAGAGGTGGGTGAGGGGCAGGCCGGTAGGTCGGTAGGTCGGTAGGTCGGAGTCTGCCTCAGATCCGAGGACTCTCTCCTCCCTAGAGGCCCCCTTTCCTTAGAATCGAGTGACTTTTGTCTATGAATGGGATTGTGAGTGTGATTGGGGTGTAATGTCACCCATTCTACATCCTTTAATGGCTCGCTGTCCTCCTCGTCTCGCTCCCTCGTGTTGTGGCTGTCCCCATCCCCATCCCCATCCCCATCCCCATCCGCTATCTCATCTCCTCCAGCATTGGCGAGGTCTTCGCCATCTCAGTCTCCCTTCCCGTCTTTCGCCTCCCCTCCCCACCCCCCACCCCCCATCCCCCATCCCCCACCCCCCACCCTCCACCCTGCACCCCTGGGCCGCTGGTCCTTTTGGTCCCCTATTGCTGTTCCCATGCCACACCAGGTGGCGAAGGAAGCAGCGGACATGGTGCTGGCCGACGACAACTTCGCCACAATCGTCGAAGCGGTCCGCGAGGGCCGCGCCATTTTTGACAACATGCGTGCGTTCATCCGCTACCTCATCTCGTCCAACATCGGGGAGGTCATCGCCATCTTCGCCGCGTCCCTCCTCGGGCTGCCCTCCTCCTCCTTCCTGCTCCCAGTGCAGCTCCTCTGGGTCAACCTAGTGGGGGACGGCGCCCCTGCCGTGGCCCTGGGGTTCACGCCACCGGAGGCCGATGTGATGGCGCGGCCGCCCCGGGAGAGGGACCAGGGGCTCGTGTCCCCGTGGGTGCTCGTGCGGTTCGGGGTGCTTGGGGCGTATATCGGTGCTGCCACTGTTGGGGTGTTTTCAGTGTGGTTTTTGAACGGGGAGCCGATGGGAATGGGGGGGAGTGTGGGGATGGGGGTGGGGAGTGCGGAGGAGGAGAGTGCGAGGGGGAGGGGTTTGATGGGTGGAAGCCAAGGGTGGTTTGCACCATTTGAGTTGGGGAAGGATGGGCATTCGGCGGTGACATGGGAGCAGCTCTCTCACTCCAAAACTTGCTCTGCTTGGGCTGCTCCTAATGCTGCTGGTACTGGTGTTGCTGCTCTGAACGCCCCTCCGCTTGTGGACTCACCATCAGCAGCTGCAAGAGGCCGGGAAGAGCCAGTAGCAGCAGTAAGAGAACGAGACCAGGCAGCAGCAGCGACAGGTTCAGCAGAAACTTTACCCAATTCGCTGTTCAATCCTCAACCCACATACACAGTAGCAGGCGGCGGAAGCGTCTCCTTCCCCACCCCGTGCGACTACTTCACCTCGGGCACCGCCAAGCCCTCTACTCTCGCCCTCTCCACGCTCGTCACCATCGAGATGCTCGTAGCCCTCAGCTCGGTGTCGGAGTACCGCAGCCTGCTGCACACGCCACCCTGGATCAACAAGTGGCTCATGCTGGCCGTTGCTGCGTCCATGGGGCTCCATGTGGCGCTGCTGTATTCGCCGCTGGCCGGTGTATTTGAGGTGGTGCCGCTGACGTGGCAGGAGTGGGCGCTGGTGCTGGTTTTCTCGCTGCCCGTGCTGTTGGTGGATGAGGGGCTCAAGCTGGTTGGCAGACAGATCTTCACGTGGAGAAAATGAGGGTGTTAGTGAGAGGCAGGCGAGGCAGGAGAGGCAGAAGTGGCAGGAGAGGCAGGAGAGGCAGGAGAGGCAGGAGAGGAAGGGGCGGCAGGAGAGGCAGGAGAGGCAGGAGAGGCAGGAGAGGCAGGAGTGGCAGGAGTGGCAGGAGAGGCAGGAGAGGCAGGAGAGGCAGGAGAGGCAGGAGTGGCAGGAGAGGCAGGAGTGGCAGGAGAGGCAGGAGATGCAGGAGAGGCAGGAGAGGCAGGAGTGACAGGAGTGGCAGGAGTGGCAGGAGTGGCAGGAGTGGCAGGAGAGGCAGGAGAGGCAGGCGAGGCAGGAGAGGCAGGAGTGGCAGGAGAGGCAGGAGTGGCAGGAGAGGCAGGAGAGGCAGGAGAGGCAGGAGAGGCAGGAGAGGCAGGAGTGGCAGGAGAGGCAGGAGAGGCAGGAGAGGCAGGAGTGGCAGGAGTGGCAGGAGCATCATTAGCCAGGCATTGGTGCTGGTCTTCCCGCTGCCTGTGCTGTTGATTGATGACAATCAGAAGCTCGAGGGCAGGGAAATTTTCACGCGGAGGTAGTTGAAGGCGTTTGTGAGTGGCAGGAGTCGTGTTGGTCTTAGGGCGAATTCCTACGAACCAGGATCAGAAACGAGTTGGATCAGGATCATGCGGTACTGTGCGGTGCGAGTGTTTGAATCGTGTTTCAGTGCGGTTCATTTTGGTTGCGCGCGTTTCTGATTCTGATGTAATTTCGTAGGATTTCTCCTTACCGTATTCCCTCGTATATAACACCCCTAGGGTATTGTAAAAAAACCATAAAAAAAAAACGTATGGGTGTTAACAGGAGGCTGGATAAGAGCATGTTCCTAGCAGCCTCTTCCCAAGCAACCTTTTCCCAGACTCGTGTGCTACAGTGTCGCAAATTTTGATGCGAAATGTTTCAGTGCGATTCCGCGAAGTGCGAAGTGAGAATCGCCTTCCCGAGATTCAGGGGCGTGTTTTAAAACCTCTTTTTAGACGAGCAGATTTTCAGACGCGCGCGAATCTCCACAGTTAATTTTCGACGCCAGCTGGTTTTATGTGGTTGAGAGCAGTGGAACGCAAATATGAAACGGGAGTATTCCGAAAAGTGATCCTAAGAACACGCTCTAAGGTCACGCGCGAAGAGTCTTAGAAACTTAGGACTAAAGGTTCTTAAACTTAGGAGGCTAGGTTGGCTAGGATACTAGGAAGAAGACCGCCATGGAATGGCGTGAGGAAAAACGGATCTAGGAAGTGAGAGGATGTCGAGAAGAAAGGTTGTTGGATTAGGAAGAGAGGGGAGTACAAGGAGGGGTTTGTACCCCCTACAGAAAGGTTCAGTAACAACCTACCAAGCCTATATTAAAATTATAACTTATATAATTTTAACACACCCCCTAGGCTTGGTAGTGTCAAGCCCACGCACACCCCCACACCCACACCCACACCCACACCCCCTAGCCCAGCACCCCCATTCCCAGCAGCAGCCGAAACGACGCCGAAAGAGGGTAGGTCTCACGGCCCCTTGAGACGGCAATGGCGGCAGCAGCGACAGTGACGACAGCGGCGGCGGCGGCGGTGTGCGGCGGCTCCAGGCCTGCGGCAACAGCGGCGGCGCCGGGGGGCTCGAACGACAGAGGCTGGTGCGGCGGCCCCCGCCCTCTCGGCGGCATGTCCTGTCTCCTCGGCGGTGGAGAGGTCCCTCACATGGCAGTCATCGGCTGCAGCAAGAAAGGGGGGGATGCAGGGGAAGCAGGTGCAGGTGGGGGGGGGGGGGAAGGGAGGGGGCGGGGCGAGGCGAGTCTTCAGCGACGCGCCATAAATGGCGCGGCGCTTACTGGCGGGAGGACGTCGTCCTGAGGGACGCCCGTCTGTGGCGAGCGGGCAGCAGGCCCGGCGACGCCACAGACGTCGCTCGGCCGGCCGCAGCCCGACGATGCCGTCGGCTGCCGCAGACGCCGCCACAGCGCACCGTCAATGTCGCAGCGGCGGGGCGGACGGGCGACGGCTGCACCAAGGGGCCGTCGCGACACCTTGGCGCCGCGACGGTAGGCAACGAGGGACCGTCGCGACATCTTGGTGCCGCGACGGCAGGCAACAAGGGTCCGTCGCAACACCTTGGCGCCGCGACGGCAGGCAACGAGGGACCGTCGCGACATCTTGGTGCCGCGACGGCAGGCACCAAGGGGCCGTCGCGACATCCTGGCACCGCGACGGCAGGCTGGCAGAAAACCGCGAAGGCTGCGAATGCAGTAGGAGTACGCAACGGGAACGTAGGGAGAGGGTCCGGTGGACACGACCGGCTCTGATACCATCTTAGAAACTTAGGACTAAAGGTTCTTAAACTTAGGAGGCTAGGTTGGCTAGGATACTAGGAAGAAGACCGCCATGGAATGGCGTGAGGAAAAACGGATCTAGGAAGTGAGAGGATGTCGGGAAGAAAGGTTGTTGGATTAGGAAGAGAGGGGAGTACAGGGAGGGGTTTGTACCCCCTACAGAAAGGTTCAGTAACAACCTACCAAGCCTATATTAAATTATAACTTATATAATTTTAACAAAGAGGTTGCCCGGGAAGAGGCTCGTAGGAACACGCTCTAAGTATAACGCCCATGTCTTACTAAGTATGTAAAATGCAAAATGAATTTGGTGTTAAAAGACTAGCTAGGAAGGAAGGGCAGCCATGAAATGGCGTGAGGGTTTAGGAGCTAGGAGCTAGGAGCTAGGAGAGTAAAGTTTGACGAGAGAAAAGAGGGTGAACTAGAAAGAGAGAGGGATACAAGGAGGGGATTGTACCCTCTACAGTAGAGTTCGATAACCTACCAAGCCTATAAATTATATAACACACTATATAATTTAACACACCCCCTAGGCTTGGTAGTGGCAAGCCCACACACACCCACACCCCGTAACCTAGCACCCCCATTCCAAGCATCAGTCACGACTACTCCGGTGGGGCCAACCCCCACGGCCCGTGAGATGGCAATGGCGACAGCGGCGGCAGTGACGGCAGCGGCGGTGGCGGTGGCGTGCGGCGGCTCCGGCGGCTTGAGCGTCAAAGGCGACTGCAGCGGCCCCCGCGCTCTCAACGGCATGGCCAACCTCCGCGGCGATGGGGTCCCCCACGAGTCAGGCGTCAGCTGTGGCGAGGAGGAGGGGACGCAGGGGAAGGAGGGGGGGGGGGGGGGCGAGTCTTCAGCGACGCGCCATGGATGGCGCGGAACTTACTGGCGGGACGGCGGAACGGCGGCACGGACGCATGGCGGCACGGCGAAGCCGCCACAGCACCTAGACATGGCCGCCACGGCTAGACGTCGACACCACGACGGTGCGACGCCATGGCAGCGCGTCGAGACGGCCGCGGACCAACGCGGCCAGCGGCCCGACGACGACGGAGCCGTCACGGCTGGACGTCGACGCCATGACGACGCGACGCCACGGCAGCGCGTCGAGACTGCCGCGCACGACGCGGCCAGCGGCACGACGACACCGCCACAGCAGCACGACGCGGCCTCCATGGCAGCGTGCGAGGGAGAAAAGGAGTGCGCGGCGGAAGCGTGCTCTGTTACCATGTCAAAAGACTAGCTAGGAAGGAAGGGCGGCCATGAAATGGCATGAGGGTATAGGAGCTAGGAGCTAGGAGAGTAAAGTTTGACGAGAGAAAAGAGGGTGAACAAGAAAGAGAGAGGGATACACGGAGGGGATTGTACTCTCTACAGTAGAGTTCGATAACCTACCAAGCCTACAAATTATATAACACAATGTATAATTTAACATTTGGGTTGTAACAGGCACTCTGAGGCCAGAACTTCACCGAGCATCTGCTAACGAGGAATCTGCTAGACATTGCACACTCTGACAGGGTCAGTTTGGTGCCTCTGAAAACGGTGGGAGATTGATCCAGCAGTAGTGCCAGGTGTCCTTGACCAATCTCGTATGAGTGCTGTGAACAGAGCCTGTTCCGTGCCTCGGAAAGCAGTTGAGATATTCTTGACCATTGCTGACATGATCGAGGTGGTTCAACTGCAAGATGGACGGTCGAGATCCTCTCGACACTTGCTGTCTTTCGATTTCGTTTTGCTACTTGTTTTGATTCTTCTGTCCGTCTTTGCGCTGCGAATGGCAGCTGCCGTGATTTTCATCCTGCTCGCTTTTTGCAGCTGAGCGGACCTTGGTAATGAAGGACGAAATACTGTTTGAAGGCAAGAAAAACGAGCACGGTGTTATATAAAATGCAAACCCAGAAAAGCGGGTACTCTAAAAAATGTGCCATATCATAAGCTATCCCCCGCATATGCCACCCATGGGCTGAGTATTTCGGCGGGTCTTATATACGGGGGATTACGGTAGTAGTGGTGGCAATGGATGGGCGTTGGTGCCGGTGTTCTTGCTACCTGTGCTGCTAGAGCGTGATGGGCTACAGCTGGTTGGAAGGCAGGAAGGTCATTGCCAGCCAGAGAGGAGATGGTCAATGAGCGGCACTTACTCTTTGATGCACGCCCTGAGATTTCTGGATTTTTCTCCTGATTTTGCTGTTTTTCATGGTGGTTTCGTGTACAGACCCTGAAATTTCTGCCTTTGGGAGAGGGGGGGGATTTCATCCCTTTTTATGTACCAAGACTGTTTTTTTCAGAGTGTTTTTCTGTGTAGACACATACGGATGACCCTTAACGAATATCAACCCTGAAACCACATCTTCCGCAATTAGCGGATTTTCCCTTCCGTCGGCGCAGTAACCCCACTTTCCCCCCGTCAATGACCCCAACTGATTTACGGCGAGGTTTAGCCAGGGCGGGAATACCAAAATTTATGTCGCGCTGTCGACAGCACACATCTGCCCACTAGAGCGATTGGTTCTTGACCCAGTTTGGGGTTCAAACGCCAATCGCACCGTAGATTCATGCAGCAATATTCCACTGCTGGCCACATGGTGGCATCGCAACGCATGCAGTGCGATGCATCTGGCCCCCAACGCAGCATGTGCATGCGGCAACCAGCCTGATAGAAGGGCCACCCACTGCACTGCCAGCTCCCCCTGACCCACCTCTTCCCTTTCAGTGCCATCTTCAAAAACCAGGTGCTTGTAAGCCAAGCACAGCTATGTCGTACGCAGCACCTTTCAGCAGTCGTAGTAGCATGCGTTAATGCAGCAAAAGGCCAGCAGTTTTGCCCTGACAGTGTCCTTGCATATTGCAGTTACGGCTTTGGGGAGTTCATCCAAGCAACTGCCACATGGCTGCAAACCACCCAAATTGACCACATCCGCGCGAGTCCGTTCCTGGGCATCAGCTGCGATGAATCAACTGACAAGTGTCGTGGCAAGCACTTAATTGTCTACACGACGTTTCTGCGAGAGGGGAGGATTGTGACAGAGTTTTTGCTCTGCTGACGGTAGACAGGTCTGATGCGGGTTCTCTTGTTCAGTTGCTGTTATCCCACCTGTCTGCAGTCGGCGTGGACCTGATGCGCATGAATGGCATTAGCATTGACGGCGCAGCGGTGATGCTGGGTCACCACAACGGAGTTGTTGCTTGGCTCCGCACGAGGATTCCCCACCTCGTTTCATGCCATTGCATCGCACACAGGTAACATAGTTTCTTATGCAATTTCTCATGCCATTCGATGAGTGCATTTCTTTATTATGCGGAGTGCTCAGTCCATGACCAGTCGATGTATAAGATGGCTACAAGTTTCACCTTCCAATTTCTCATCTACTATCTTGCTGACCTACTTGAGCAGCTGAGCATCTTGAACAAGATGTTCCAACAATGCGAGGTGAGCTTCGCATCTCGTTCGTCATGTGTGTTG